ACAATATCGGGTATGTTTCAGGTCCTGTCATATGGGGTTCCATTTGTGCCAAAATTCACTTGCCTGCTTTCTGCTTTGTACTTTCCATTTGTCTTCGTCTACTCTCACTGGACACATGTTCAGGAATATCAGCATTGTTGATGTACATGTTGTCTCTTGATGTCGTCTGATGCTTTTTTCCTGTTTTGTACTGTCATATATGGGGTATTCTGTCATCTGGTCAGCCGACCAGCTCCTCCTGGGTGTGCCCAGGACCAGTCGAAAGCTCAGAGGGGATCGGGCAGAAGGGAATCTCTTCTTAAAACCCACTTGTTCAATTTGGCTTTTTAGCACAGCGTGAGATGTTGAGATTTTATGTTTATTTATTTGTATTTTAAAGTTTGTTTTACTCTTTGTTGTCAGCACTTTGGTCAACTGTGTTGTTTTAAAGTGCTTTACAAATAAATTGAATTGAATCTGATCTGTTGTCCTTATTGTTGTCTATTCATCTTTACTGTCATCATTACTGTTGTATATGCTGTCATTTATAGGCTACTGTCATCCTTATGTCGTCTATGTGGTCATTACCATCATCTATGCTGTCATCATATGCTGAGGGTAAGGATGACTGAACAGACGACCATAAGGAAGGCAGCATATACATACACAAATCTCAATTTTGTGTGGTGCGGCATGATTTAGTCGACCCTGAGTTCGGCGAAATGACAAAGAAAGCTGATCCTGATTGGTCCTCATTCATGCATTCGAAATTCTAATTGGCGCACAGAAAGAACCTTATAGAGCCAAGCTAGAGTTTGACTTTGTAGATAAACCTTTTTTTTTAAAGTCTTAAAATGTAAACAGCTTATTAAAAAAAAACATGACAATGTAAGTAAGTTGTCATTTAATAAGAATGTGAATAACTAAATTTTGACAAAAATGTCAGATAGAACCTTATAATTCTATGATGACAAACTATTAAAAATGTTCATAAAAACATAAACATAAAACGTTTGTGTTTTTATGAACATAAAAACATGAATCACAAAATGTGGAAAACTGCTCATTACCGGATATTTTTGTGTAGTGGTACTACTTTAGAAGGGTTGTATATCAGCAGCCTAACTTAAAGATTTATATTAATATCAAAATAGGTGATGCAGTGGCACAGTAGGTAGTGCTGTCGCCTTACAGCAAGAAGGTCGCTGGGTCACTGGTTCAAACCTCGGCTTGGCTTGGTGTTTCTGTGTGGACTTTGCATGTTCTCTCTGCATTTGTGTGGGTTTCCTCCAGGTGCTTCGGTTTCCCCCACATGTGGTACAGGTGAATTGGGTAGGCTAAATTGTCTGTAGTGTATGAATGAGTGTGTGGATGTTTCCCAGAGATGGGTTGCGGCTGGAAGGGCATCCGCTGCGTAAAAATGTGCTGGACAAGTTGGCGGTTCATTCTGCTGTAGCGACCCTGGATTAAATAAAGGGACAAAGCCGACAAGAAAATGAATGATTCTAAACATTTATTGTAACATTTATTAAGGCCTTTATTTGCTAAAAATGTGTTCATCATCAACCAATAACCAGCATCCTTCATAATCTGAAAGTTGTTTTAGTAAAGGCTGAATTTAATATTTACTTATGAATGCTGTAGTATTGTTCATCTTAACTTCAATATTCATTAATTTTCTTTTCGGCTTAGTCCCTTTCTTAACTTCAGTAGTTAACCTTATAATAAAGTCAAACCAAGAGAACAAAAATCTGTGTTCCTGTCCATATGAATGAAGCATTTGCTGTTCCTAGAGAAGTCTGTGTTTCATAACCTAATGTTGTGTCTAGTGTTTGATAATGCATTTCTTTTCAGGGCAAAATTCCTTGATTGTTATGCCCTCTTGTGGACACATTACCATTCAACATGCATATCTATTTGATTTACACTTTATAAACATTTTAGAATAAATGCACATGTTTTAAAATGTTAATCTACCCCAAAATGGATATAGCTAATGCTAACTGCAATCTTCATTGTGCATATGCTTGGTTCGATTTGTAACAGATGTTGTGTTTTACACCATAAAAGGTCATGTTGCACCAAAATAAACATCTCTTCTAGTAAATGCACTTAAACAGAAGGAAGTAAAACTTTAAATCACGACCTGTCGAGCGTTGCTTTTAAAGTGAGTTATGATTTCAAATCTGACCAGAGGCGCATGCAAATTCGCTTTGTGAGCTGGGAAATTATGGGCGTGGCTTAAACCCGTCGCTTCAAGGCGGAAAATTCTGTTATGGTAACTTTTCCTTCCTTATATTGAAGTTCCTGGTAGCTGCTGTAGGTGGTTGGCCTCACTAATTGAAACTCTTGGAAATCTTACAGGAACTTAAAGAAGAATGTGGACCTCGAAGTTCCCATTGAACCTACACTTCCTTGAGCTCCCACTAAGTAAAAACAAGGGACATTTTCTTTGTACTGGAAAGGAAGTGGTGTAGAATTTTCAATATACATCGTCATTGATCTATACAGGAAATATACATCATCATCAGGTTTGTAATATAGATGGTGATTATTCAAAACAGGCGACATTAATGTGCTGAATGACTGAATCATTCCTGCTCTGTCATGGGTTTAAATATCTGTCAGTCAGTCTGAATGCGGTCTATCAAAACTCTAAAACCATTACAATCATGTTCAGAGGTTATGAAACTGATATTTGAAATAGCATTACAACACACTATTCGACATCTGTAGATTCCATTGCAACAGTTTTCAAGGGTTGCATCAGAATGTGAAGTTTCCACTGATTGCATTTTGATTGCCAAGGGCCGTGACCGTGTTGGTTCACATTCTGACAGGGCAAAGTGCACTTGTGTTACTGTGAAATTCAAGTCATGGTGTTAGGAATCAGGGTCAGTTCGGATTCAACGCATGATGTCAATGGAATGCGTTTACATGTGCATTTTGTATTTAAATACAGATATAATTAAGAAAAATTGAGTTTATTTATAATAATAGTAAATATATTCATAAATGAGTTGGGTATTTTATTGGTATGATTTCAAAATATTAATGTCCCATGTTGTGCCTCATATAAGGTGAGCATTTAGATGTGGATTTATATCTGAATGAAATGAATAAACTAAAATAGTTTTTGTTTTATTTACTACCTGGAAAAATAATTTCAAAAAATATATTGCTTGTGCTTAGAAATTATGATTTAGGACAAAGATTGGGAAACAGACATGAACAGAGAGTGTTCAATTCCCGGTGATGGTATTGTAATGCAATATTGGTGGCTTTTTTCTTTATAGGCTTTATGTTTTCAGAGGAAAAAGTTGGAAGTTGTCTACGAGTAATTTCTAAAAGTTTACTTATCAGCGATGATGAAGCAATGAGCAGCAACTCTGACTCGATTTGGCCATAAATGTGTATTTTTAATGGATGTGCATAAATGACAGATGAGGTCAGGCTAAAGAGCATGTACAACAAATAAAAAAGCATATCTATCCATCCATCCATTTCACACGCACTGAAGCTAAACAGAACTGAGTCTGGTCAGAACCTAGATGGGAGAGCACATGGGAAACTAGGATACTGTTGGAAGTGGTGTTAGTGAAGCCAGCCAGAGGCGCTCAACCTGCGGTCTGTGTGGGTCCTAATGACCAAGTATAGTGAAGGGGACACCACTGTCAGTGAGCGTCGTCTTTCGGATGAGAGGGGTAAACCAAGGTCCTGACTTTCTGTGGTCATTAAAAATCCCATGCCACTTCTTAGCCCAATCACCCCCTATCCATTAAAATAACTCTATTTATGTCTCTCCACTTTACCTATAGCTGGTGTGTTGTGACAAACTGGCGCTGATGCTCTGTGGCTGCTGTCGCATCTATCTATCTATCTATCTATCTATCTATCTATCTATCTATCTATCTATCTATCTATCTATCTATCTATCTATCTATCTATCTATCTATCTATCTATCTATCTATCCATCCATCCATCCATCCATCCATCCATCCATCCATCCATCCATCCATCCATCCATCCATCCATCCATCCATCCATCCATCCATCCATCCATCCATCCATCCATCCATCCATCTATCTATCTATCTATCTATCTATCTATCTATCTATCTATCTATCTATCTATTTATCTATCATCTGTCTGTCTGTCTCTGTCTGTCTGTCCATCCGTCATTTTATCTATCTATATATCCTTCCATCCAACCATCCATCCATCCATCCATCCATCCATCCATCCATCCATCCATCCATCCATCCATCAGTTTGTTTATCATTAAATCTTTTTATTTCAATGTTGTCTGTTAGCTTCAGTAAGGAATTTTTATTTGACAATAAACAAAAGGGCCACATGGAATGTGGAAAACAATCCTTCAGTTCTATATTTAGTGCAAATTATTTTCCAGGTAATTGTTTTTGAAACAAATAGAGTGTCTCTATTTATATATTGTTTTCCACTTCTCAATGACTCCATCGCAGTTCGAAAAAACTTTTGTTTCCTGTACAATTTTAGAGTTCTGAAGAATTCCCTCTATGTTTTCCTCTCCCACAAAAAGGGGGTTACCAAAGCTCAGGTACTGCCAAGAGTTCTGTAGTATCCTTGTGGTTTCCACAGAACTTCACATCTGGAACAATCCCAAGGAATTTTGGAACGTTTCCTGATGCCACCCTCAACCTAAATAATTTCCAAGACTTAAATGTCCCTCTCAAAACCATCCGCTTAAACAGAACTAATCAGAAAAATCTGCAAAAAAAAAAAAAAATGCTGAATCATTGCTCTCTGACAGGATGAACTCGATTGCACTAAGGGTTATACTCAGCACGTATCTCAGGTTTGGCATGTGTAGACTTGCCCTACCACAAATTCCTTGACACTTGACAACTATAAATGGTTATGCTTTTTGAACACGTCAAATACTCTTTATAAAAGCAACAATGTGCAGGTGTTTCCTCTTGTGATGCAATCAAATTGTTTCAGTCACAGCTGTCTTAAATAAAACCAGTGTAAAATGACTCAAGTGGTATAGCTTTTTTATTAATAAAGTATCAAAAACAAACAACAGACAGTCAAAATGAAGCCATACATATTTCGTATAAATAGTTAATTGAATTTGACAGGCTATCATCTTCTCAATCATGACTTTTGGAAGCAATTGCACTTATTGACATCAACAGCATTGACATGATGGGTGAAATCTGGTTTAACCACAAATTGGAAGCATAGCTTTGTTTTTAACTATACATTTAATGTCAGTAGTACCACATTAAGTGGCATACCTGTTTTGCACAAATACAAACAAAAAAGAAGGGAAACAAACAAACTAGATGACGCCTGCGTCACTTAAAATTTCAGTACATGACAGAACATAAACAGAGACCATACCCAAAAACATAAGGGAAAATATTATGAGAAGATTTGGTGTTTTCCTTAGTTTAGTAGAAATGGAGTGATTGATTTTCCCTTTCTGTACACCTTTCTGTAATATTAGGCAATGCAGTCACAGGGCTGATCAGATGTCTTGTGGTGTGTGTTTCTTCACTAACAACGTGGTGTGACACTAAAAGTGCTTGACACATGATCTAGGAACAAAGCCAGACAAATAATAAGAGCTTTACTTCAAGTTTTTTGTTTCTCTCTCTCTATAGAATAATCCCAGCTAACAAAATATGTCCTAAGAATGTTTTTCAGGTTCTCTATTTTCTTAAAGAAGTTAGTCAAACGTTAAAGAAAACATTAATGGAATGTTCAAAGTGCAAACCATATAAGAACGTTAATTCTGAAACAAGCATCAGGTAGTAATCTTTAAGAAAAGATTTTTCGCATATAAGAATTTGAGCACATATTAAATTGAACATTCAATTAATGTGATTCGACGAGTGTTTGTGCACAGCTTTAACATAAACTTGTTAGCTGAGAGTATAGCATCTACACAATAACAACACAACTACAATACATGAAAAATGTGACATCAGAAATAAACAAAAAACACTTTTTTTGAGTGTGTGTGTGTGTGTTTGTGTTCACAGTGGACTGACAAATTCAGACCTTCCTGCTCACAGCATCGTAACAACATTGAGGTGGTAGCAGTGGCGAAGAACTTCCTTGTAAGTACCGTGCAGGACACCTTGTCATCTCCACGTCCACTTCCCTGTAATTTTATCTGTTTATTCAGTTTTTGTTTCCTGTATAATATATAGACCGAGTCCTGAGAGATTAGTAGCAGCTTGAAATACTTCTTGTGGCATGTTATGTGAACACATAATAACTATAAAGGGATAGTTCACCCAACAATGTACATTTACTCACCCTCAGATTGATCAGCAGTTTTTTTTTTTTCTGTTGAACTCCTAAGAAGGCATTTTGAAGACAGTTGGAATTCAGTAGCCATTGAACTAATAGGAAAAATGGCCATATACATTCTTCAAAATATCTTCTTTTGTGTTCAACAGAAGCAACAAGTAAGAAAATGTTCATTTTGAGCTGAAATATCCCTTTAACAAGGTAAAGGCCATAGATAAATATGTAACTGAACTTCATTCATCACCCTGTATATCTTGCCAAGAAATCAAAAACAAAAACACACATATATTCCCCTCACTAGAACAGCACTTGCCATCAAACACACACCGCCAGGGTTTCATTCAACAAACAAGCTGATAAATAAATGAAATCATGCTGTTCTAGCAGCAGCAACATGACATCAAGCTTTGGTGGTGCATACGAAAAACAAGCATATCATGTTAAACAGTACAATGACGAACACATTTAAATAACTAAGTGAAAACGCATTGAATGTCCTTCAACACTTTTAGTGCTTTTAGTCTCTTTCAGTGTACATCAGACCGACCTTGATTGGCAGCATGGCAGGCACCCGTGTTTAGTCCTTTTTTTTTTTTACTTGGGCAAACCTTCCAGTGTTCCTTGGCGAGCCGTTAGCTTGTTTGCTTGGAGAGTTTGTGATTCACAGATGCCCACAGCTGGTTGGTATGGCGGTGTGTGTTGGTCCATTGGTGGCAAAACCCAGCCCCTGGAGTGTGGATTCTTTGATTTGTTGGATGAAAAGCTTCTTCTCGTCTTCGGGGGTCTGGCCGTTCTGAGCGCGGACGATGCAGGTGGGCCTGTGCAGGTTGAGCATGTAAACAAGCTGCTGCTTTTGGTTCTTCAGCTCCTCGATCTGAGCTTTCAGCTCTGCATTGATGGACTCAAGCTTCTCAGACTCCTAAAGTCAAAACAAGAACATACATGAGTTTCTTGAGTTTTTAGAGCTTAATTGTGATTAATATAAAATAAAGAGGAAAACATAATTAAACTAATTAATTTAATTGGGCGCCAGTTAATTTATTTGCTCAAAATAACCTGAAACAGTATCTGCGGGGTCTTAAAATTCTTTCATTTCAAAACCCAAATTTTAGGCCTTTAAAAGTCTTCAATCCACTAGCATTATTGTGTTGTAGGTCTTAAATCATTTTAAACGAGTCTTAATTTTTCTTTGTCTATGTAAATCTATACCTAATTGGGCCAACACCCACCCATCAACAATTTACATTAATAAAAGTTTTAAGAAACGTTTATCTATTAACTTAATTCACTAAATATGGTTTAATTATCTTCCTTACAATAACATTTGTTTTTAATGTTTTTTTTTTAAGGTTTTAACTTTTGTGTAAGTGTAAGTCTGAAATTTCATTTATTATGGTCTTAAAAAGTCTTAAATTTGACTTAATAAAACCTGTAGAAACCCTGTTGAAAGTGTGGGAAATGTGTAATTGTCATAGACAAAGCAACAAAATATTGTGTCATTTTATTTATTTTTTTAATGTTTTATTTTTACTGCCTTTCCCAGAGATGGGTTGCAGCAGGAAGGGCATCCACTGCGTAAAACATGTGCTGGAAAAGGTGGTGGTTCATTCCGCTGTGGCAACCCATGAATAATTAAGGGACTAAGCCGAAAAGAAATTGGAGAAATTAAACTTTTTTTATCTGCCTTTAATGTTTGAATCACTTAAGTTTTATTGTTAACAACAGCTGTCAGAGTTTTTATTCAATATTATTATTTTCACTTCTAATTTCATATAATATTTATACACACCAAGTACACATACACTATGTTGGATGTGATAAATATCCATTAATTCTTCGACAGCACTAATAAATATATAGCATGACTTATTAACATAATATAAAAAACTCTATAATGAACTTTATAGTTCAGAACTTTTTTTAAAGACTATTTTAACTTTATTTACTCCATCTATACTAGGTACAGTTGAAGTCAGAATTATTGGCCCCGTTTAATATTTCCCCAATTTCTGGTTAATGGAGAGTTTACACATTTCTAAACATAATAGTTTTAATAACTCATTTCTAATAACTGATTTATTTTATCTTTGTCATGATGACAGTAAATAATATTTGACTAGATATTTTTCAAGACACTTCTATACAGCTTAAAGTGACATTAAAAGGCTTAACTAAGTTAATTAGGTTAACTAGGCAGGATAGGGTAATTCGGCAAGTTATTGTATAATGATGGTTTGTTCTGTAAAAAAAATATAGCTTAAAGGGGCTAATAATTTTGACCTTAAAAATGTTTTTAAAAAAAATTAAAAATGCTTTTATTCTACTCAAAATAAAACAAATAAGACTTTTTCCAGAAGAAAAAATACTATCAGACATACAGTAAAAATTTCCTTGCTCTGTTAAACATCATTTGGAAAATTTAAAAAAATTAATTAATTAAAGGGGCCTAATAATTCTGACTTCAACTGTAGATGTAATAGATATAATGTAATCAACTACAGTTAAAAATAGCAAAAAAAGATCAATAATAAAAAATAACAGATATAATATATGTTTATATAAATGTTACGTTTTTTAATCAAATGCTAAATAACAAGTAATACCTTTTGTAAATTATCGGTTTTCTCCTTTTTCTTGTTCCGACATTTTGCTGCTGCAATTTTGTTTCTTTCCCTTCTTCTTTTCCTTCGGTCGTTCTCCTCTGGGACAGCCTGAAATAACAACATCTATCAATTTGGGAAAGCCAAACTACCTAAAATGCCCACAAGTGGATGAACAAGTGAATTGTGCAAGCATGGCTTTTCTACGTCCATGTTACTCAATATAACCAATGTGAAATATGAGAAATTACACTTAAAAAAAAAAAAACATTTGTGCCAGTAAATGAGTGGGTCTTACCTCTCGCTTCATCCCAGGTAGTTCGGTGGGTCTCTCAGTGTTCATGCAGGCTCTGTCAGTGGTCAGGGTGCTCATGCCGTTGGACATGCGTTTGTTCTGGATGGCGTAGCGCAGCTCCTCTTTCACTAATGGAGTGAAGTTTGTGAAGTCGTCCAGCGTGAGGGAACCGGGCGGAGAGAGACAGGGAACCAAAGCTGACGCACTGATCTCTGACGGACCCAAACCAGGGTGCTGAAGCATCATGCCGAAATCTAAAAAAATACCAAACAACAGTTAAATCATGATGTTAATGAGGAAAATGGAAAGATAGATAAATAAACGATAAATAAATAAATAGATAAATAAAGTAAAGATGTAACACCTTTCTCTATAAAACTACTGAATTAACTGTGTTATAGTTAGAAAATGAATAACAGCATCAGAATTATAGAGTAAGACCCAATAATTAAATTGTAACAAAAACAACATTTAAAAATGATCATTAAATATTGTATTTTAGAAATAAAAGTATTAAATTGCATACTGTTATAATAATATACCAACAGTTATAATTTGTTAACAATAATAAACTATATAAACAATAGTTATACAGTTATTGTAATTAAAATATATATTCCTTGTTAAATAATATTGTCATTTATGATATTTATATAAATATTACATTTAACAAGGTGATTATTATAATATTAAATTCATTAAATGATATGCATTTTAAAGTGATAAGTGATTTTAAGTAATTTTAAAGTGATAAAGTTTTGATTAAGGGAGAATATTGTAGTCACAAGTTCTTGTGTTGTTTAATTTTGTTAAGTTACGTTTATGGATCATGTCTTTAAAGTTATATTATATTATATTATATTATATTATATTATATTATATTATATTATATTATATTATACAGACACAACTGGCTAATACAAGGCTAGATATCATGAGCAGAAAGTAATTTGGCTAACAATTTTTACCACATGTTATTCTAAGTCAATCTTACAATGACAACCATAATTTAAAAGCTTAAATAATAGTGTAGAATAAAATGATCTTATTTAATTATAGATAAAAAATGTACAACATACAATTATTAAAGTGCCATCTTGCTATTACAGTATTTATAGGGGTTGTTATAGGTTCTGGCTTCCACAGCTGTCAATATTTTGCTTTTACAATGACGTATTATAGACGTTTTGCTCTCTTTATACAGTATGCTATCGCTTTTTTGTCATAAACATTCATTTCAACAAACGTTTTGCTAATTTATGTGTATTACTGTACGAATACATTATAGCCTACAGTAACAACTCGCAAACAGAATAATCTAAACCATCAAATATTGATTAAGAACCTTATATTAGTTCTAATATTTTAACATTTAAGTGACAGGTTTTCAATACAGAGTAGGCTATATGAAATCATAATCTTTAACTATTTAATGAGTTGTATTCGTGTTACACATTGTCGATGAAGTAACGTTAACGTTAAACTCACTGACGTAACATTGTCGGTTAAAACAACTTGAAAACAGGATAACTTAAAACAATCAGTTTTAATCCAATTTGAATAAATATCGAACAATTATTAACGCAAATAAACAGTAATGCACATACATTATAGCTAAATAAAAGTTCGTTAAAAAAGAGTTCGTTAACTCAAACCTAAATACAATCGCTTGACTCATAAACGCAAAAATCTAGCTTTAGTAGCCTAAACCAAGCACAACATAGACGTTTTCCCACAGCGTGTTCCAGAATAGCGATGAATAGGAAATGTACAATGCCGTCTCTTACCTGGTTGTGTGTAAATAAATGTAGGCGCGTGTGTTTGTGATGCTCTCCTGATGCCGGACTGTTCTCGCGCTCAGCAGCTAAAGTTACAGTTGTCGCCGGCTCGTTGCATCACCCCTTTTTATGGCTGGAGGACGTGAACTACTACTAGGGGCGGGGCGAGTGACGTCACCCTATTTATAGCATCAGCGGCGCTGTCTTTTCGCGATGATGCAATCAGGCAACCCTCTCCGCCGCGCACCATAACTGGGCAAACTCCCGCCCTCCCTCACAATAGTGAAGCTGACGAGCTGGCATGTTAACCTAATGAGCAAATAAAGACATATACTCGTGTAATGACAGGCCATCTCTGGTATGCTCTAATGTCATGTACCGAATAGTTTTGAAAAAAGAGATATGAGAGAGAGAGAGTTTGACTGACTGACTGACAGACTGTCTGCTTGGTTTGAAAGAGAGCATATAAAATCCCTCTTGGTCTGTTAAGTTAAAAACACTTAGCCTATGTTTTCTTGTTTATGTCTTTTTTATTTTTTTTTATATTTTTATGAAGAGATGGAGAGATGAAGCCAAGGTCAGTGTGTATATGGCTGTTTTTTAAAAGCTTTAAATTTGGTTTTAAATTTCCACTGGCTCAGGGAAAAAACAGCTTTGAATATCTTTTATGGCGTTTGAATTTAGTTGGTTTGTTTCTGACTGAATTTAGGATTTTATCATTTAATAATAATTTAATTATTGTTATGTAATATTGTAACATGACATTTAGAGGTTTTCAGTTTTTAGAGGGTTGAATATTTGAGTGTATTCAACTTTAAAAGTTTAATTCGATTTATTACACTTTATTTGAGCATCCTTGTTACTTTTAATTATACATTATATCAAGTACTGAGTAAAATTAATTTAAGGTTCATTTTATTTGCAAATTATTATGCATTTAATTTATTTTTAGGCATATTCTGTCTAAAAAGATCACTAAAACAAATCTATCTATACATATTATCTATCTATCTATCTATCTATCTATCTATCTATCTATCTATCTATCTATCTATCTATCTATCTATCTATCTATCTATCTATCTATCTATCTGTCTGTCTGTCTGTCTGTCTGTCTGTCTGTCTGTCTGTCTGTCTGTCTGTCTGTCTGTCTGTCTGTCTGTCTAAACTAATAAGTTGGTGGATATGAGTAAGTTTTTTTCTTAATTAGTTTTGGTACATCTAATATGTAACAAAACACTATAAAATAAAAGTTTGCTTAATAAATATATAGTAAAATTAGCGATAGGCTTGTTATCTTTCTCATGTTTTTCTATTTCACTTTCCTTTCAATTCAATATTTAACGCAGTGATTTGGTGATGTTTTAAGGGAGTGGGTCGTCAGCAGTGTCTGCATTCCTCTTTTCAATGTGAAGCACAGCTTTCTTGCCGTAGCTGTTCATTATTACACAGCCCAGTCCACACTCTTTCCTATGTGTTCTGGAAACTTCCAGTAATCTCTTCTCACCGTCCTGGTGCAATCACCAATAAAACACTCCTTTATTACATACATTTGTGCTTGGACACTAAATAATGTTACCAAGGAGTCGTGTCTAAACATGACACAAAGTCCAAACAAGTATTTGTATTTCTCAAGAGAATAATAGGTCTGGTTTCAATCTGGGTTAATACTTCAATATGAACTATTATATAGCAAATTTGCTGTTGTTGTTTTGTTGATATCCACCAACATATGAGAATTTATTATTTATTTTATTATATGAAGAAGTTTTTCATTTAATATCTATTTTTACTTATTAGCTAATAGGAAAAGTCAAAAATAGATATTAACAACAAACCACATATACTAATATCTGAAAACATTAAAAAATAAAGATATAACGACCCCAAAATACAAGGTAGGACTAAAGAAATATGTTTATTATATTTTCCATTCTTATTTTATTTATTATTTTTATTTATTTATTTATTACTTTTAATTATATGACGAAGTTTTTTTTTCTATTTTTACTTATTATCTATTAGGAAATGTCAAAAATGGATATTAACAACAAACCACATACACTTATATCTGAAAACATAAAAAATAATGATATAATGACCCCAAAATGTACAAGAGAGATTCTTTTCTTATTTTTTATTATATTTTTATTCATTATTTATTTATTTATTGTAACTAGAAAATCACCTTGATTCTAGCTGGTTATTAATCATAAAAAAACAAAAATGAAAAAGCAAAAGGCTAAGAAACGGGAAGTTATTTAGTTCTGAGAAAAGCTCTTGCAACATTTGCAACATGCTTTGATTTTAATTGCCCAATACTATCAAATATTTTTTTTAAAACATGGATTTTTTGTACAAAAGTTTCTAACATTTAATGAGATATATTTTTTCGATAGTCTACAGCACTTGTCTAATTACCCTAACCTGCCAAGTTAACCTAATTAACCTAGTTAACCCTTTAAATGTCACTTTAAGCTGTATAGAAGTGTCTTGGAAAATATCTAGTCAAATATTATTTACTGTCATCATGGCAAAGATAAAATAAATCAGTTATTAGAAATGAGTTATTAAAACTATTATGTTTGTGTTGAAAAAAATGTATCTCCCTTACAAAGAAATTGGGGGGAAAAATAAACAGGGAGCTAATAATTCAGGGGGTTTAATAATTCTGACTTCAACTGTATGTGTTCAGCCATAGCGGACATACGTGGCCCCGTGCAAATGATCTATATCTAAAACAGTACACAGAGCTTAATATAGCAGTATATTACCCATCTTATCATCTCTTTATCATATCTGTCAGGGCAGAGTCACGTCATAGAGTTCATCGTAGGAAGTCAAACAGGTGTTTAAATGCCCGCAGCCATTTTCTGTCTGGGATACATGGATACAGCTGTTATGATGTCAATATTGACCTGTTAGCTATTAATACACTAGAGAAGTTTCAGGAGAAGTGATTTCACTTTTCCATCTGTTACTTGTTGATTGTTGTCTGTCTGTCAACAAAAATGTGCCAAGTTTGAGTTTAGGAACAGAAAGATAACGGTGTGTAAACAGCAGAGTTTGCATTTCCCTCACTTTCTTTTTGATGCAAAGATTTTTTTTGTTTCATTTTGACTCAACTGTCTGTATCTTTATTGGTCTAATCTGATTTTCGACAAGAAAACACGGTCACGTTTTAAAAGAGAAGTCATTTGCTAAACTGTAAAAAATCATTTGATCAATTAGTCCTGACAGCATATGTTTTTAGTTCATTGTAACTTCATAAACTAAGCTAATCATGTTCTAGCTTAATTGTATAAGTTATTTAAGCTGTTTTAAGTCAGTTTAACATAATATCAGTTCAATTGACTCATGAATTTGATTCAGCTTAACAATTTAAGGCAACTAGGATTTTTTTACAGTGTATTTCTGCATCACGGATTGATTTAAATTATATTTTAACTGATTTAAATATGTGTATATGAATACATTTGAGTGTATATTAGAATATACACTTTAAAAGATTTAAATATGTGTACATTTATATAAAGCAATAATTCGTGTAAATATAAAAATATACATGAATATTAACTATATAGCGAAATTGCTGTTGTTGTTTTGTTGATATCCATCAACATATGGGATTTTTTTTTTTAAGTTTAAAGCAATAAATACATTTGAGTAAATATTAAAATATACATTTTAACTGATTCAAATATGTGTACATATATATATGAAGCAATAGATACATTTGTGTTTTATGTACACTCTACTCTGTAAAACCCAAAAAGTTAGGGTAACTAAAACCATTTCAGAAAACCGATTGCAACAAACCATTTAAGTTCAAAAACTGAGTACTGTGAACTTACTCCATTTGAGTAAACGAGGCAATTTGAGCAAAGTAAAACCTAATAAATGAAGAGAGCTCAACCCAACTGGGTACTGTAAAACTATACTGTAAAACTTCAGCCTACTCAAACTATTTGAGGAAACCCATACAAACCATTTGAGTTAAAAATCTAATGTATATGAGTACTGTGAGCTCTATAAGTTGAAGTAATGAGGTAGTAATGTAGAATTAATTAACTCATTACCTTCAACAGTGAGCTCAAAACTCTTTTCAAATGAGTCGATTTAACATTCAGTAAATTCTGAGTCAACTACACTCATTTCATTTGATAAAGTTGGCTGGGTTTTACAGTGTAAGAAATGCTGAGTTATTTAAACTAAAATTGGCCAAAACGTGGACAAACTCAAACATTGAGTTTAATTTAGTCCTATAAATCTAATAAAAAAAAACAACAACCCAGCAGCTGTGTTCTGTAACACACCCACAGTTGGGTTGAAATAACCCTGCTGTTTTAGAGTGTATATTGCTTCATATACTGTATCTACACACATATCTTTCAGTTGATTTTAGCTGTGCATTCAGTATTGAGATCTTCACATCTACCATAGTGATCATTAAATTTAACACTAAATTCTTACACCATATTCTGCAATTATATTAATCCTTTGTATAATTAATGCATTGTGATATGTTCTATAATATTGGGAGCATGTTATTAAGATTAAAGACGTGGACGCAAGTTCAGAATTTAATCATTAAAATGAATAGAATTACGTAGTTCTGTATGGTTGGGATTTTATCATGTCTTGCATTTGGTTTCAGTTTTATTTTGAAAAGGAATTTATGTGTTTATCTTTTACTTTTGTTTACAAGTCTTTAGTGTAATTCAACAAGCATCATAAACATCATAATTATCGAAACCAAGTATGCAAAATATGCACAAACTGTGTCTGTTCTGTTCAAGGCATTTACGTTTGTCTAAAATAAAATACAATGAAATAAAATATATTGGTGAACAATAGCAAGGCTTGTAGATTTACTAAGTACATTGTAATAAGTACAAAAGTGAAAACTTTAGAGATATAAATAAGTGTATAATAAATATTTCTTAATTGTGTCTGTACTTTATATATAAGTATATTTCGTGTAGCACTTTCTTGCAAATACAAATATGCTAGCATTTTGAGTAAGCAGAGTTTTAAGATTAAAAGAATACCAGTTGGTTGTTTTGATATTTTAAACACCCTGATTTCACACATATTTAA